CAAGATGGATGGCAGCCGTCCAAGGAAGGCCAGGTCAAGAAACAGACAACGCAAGAAATGGCAGAACTCTCCTTTCTTGATCTGGGCTATAATAACAGAATCTTGAAAGCCTGACCACCTCTCCCCTTCCCTCCCTCTTATACCAAGGACAATCAAGGAGGGGCAGCCTTGAGTTTCTTCCTCACAGCTTCCTGTTTCCTCAGGCTGAGCTCATGTTTTACTAACAATCATCAGATATTTTCTGAAAGGTCATCTCTGTGCCCCCTACCCCTTGGTTTTGCCTTGTTTCTTTGCTCTGTAGTTGTGTGCATCGCTTTACTCTTGCTTACGTGGATAGAGCATTACATTTGCCCTGGGAGTGCCTATTTCCTGGGTTGGGACAGTCCATGTGTAAAAACACCAAAGATGACCAGAGAAATCTAACATTTAGGCCTTTCCCTACAAATCCACAGATCAGTCCAACTGTTGGACTCCAGCTTTAAGTCCTCCTGCTCGGGGCCAAACTTACCAGCAGAGCAGCTGCACCACTTTCGAATCTTGCCCTGCTGGTCCTTTCCACTGAAGGCGGCTGATGCCTGTGGCTCCCTACAGCTGCCAGTCTGGAGGCCGACACATCAGAAAGCCAAACGGGGCTGCAGGAGAGGCCCAGCCATAGGGCTTAACCAAATCAAGGGCTGGAGATGGAAATTTGCTTGACCGGCAGGATTCCACTGGAAGCACCTGGAGAAAAAGCCCCTTGGACATCCTTTCCGTGGGCCCGATTCTGTGCAGATGCCCGCGTGACTAGCAGGTAGCCCCTCTCAGTCCACCGCTTTTAGGTTAAAAACTGTCACGCAGCTAAGCAGGAATAAACAAGCACAAGGAAACAGAAGCCATCCCTTCTCCCAATTGCTTTCAGCTGCAGGTCATGAGTCACTGGAAAAGTAGCCATCTCTGCTGGTTCTTGCTCCTCTTTCTCTACTATCTTCTCCCTTCAATTCTCTACTTTTCTTCCTTTTCTACTATCTTCTCTTCCCCCTTCAATTTTTTCACTAGTTTTTTCTGCCCTTTCTCGGTTTCCCCAGCTATCCTTTAACGTTTGGGCATTATGTTCCTTCCTCCTGCACGTGTGACACACGCACAAAGAGAGGGGAGCTTTGATCACATGGCCGCAGCTGCCATCTTGACTTTTTTGTCCTCCCTTGCGGATGTCCCTACATTCTCTGGAAACCCCTTGCTCTCTGCCTCATCCTGTAAGAAACTCCAAAGCAGCCACAGAAGCACTATCAGCTGGAATTCCCAACTGGAATCTCACCTGGCCTGGTCTCACATTGGGGAAGGCTCACAATGGGTGACAATTGTGAGGTTAGGGGCAGTCTTCTGAAGAGAAGGACCCTCACTCAAGATCCTCATAGGCTGGATTAGGATGGGGTGCAGAGGTTCCTCCCCCAAGTTTTATATTGCGCTTTGACCTAGAAGACCAGAGTAAACTTCCAGATCAGTCTAGAAACTCAAAGAGTATTGTTAAAATTAGTTACTGCTTCTTAGCTTAACTTCTCCTGCAGGGTAAGGGGACAAAGGGAAGCCATGCTTTCTATCTTGAGCTCCTTGACTTGAGAAGTTATCAAGGGGTGAAAGAGAGAGAGAGAGAGAGAGAGAGAGTCATCCCTTCACACTGGCATCACAGCTTCAGAAGTCTTCTGCCTTCAGTCTTTGACATTTCCAGAATTGTATTTTGAACTCGAGTACCATAGACTCCATTTCAAATCAGCCCAAAGATCTTTTCACTAAACTTTCATCTTTCATCTGAGAAATCTTGCAGAAGACAACTTCCTTTTTCATAGCAACAATATTTCCAGTTGCCAAGAAGTTAAAGGCAAGAACTGTAAAAACCGACACTGGATTTCAGACTTGCTGTGATGCAACCCTCCCCTTACAATGTTTGTTGACAGCATTTTCTCTGGGGCTGAAATTAAGCTTCAGATCCAAATGTCTGCACCAAAGAAAGGAGAATTTTGCAGACTCAGAGTTATGAGACCGCAGAAGGCATAAGTTCTGAAAAACAAGTATAGGAAGAAGGCAAGCTTAATACCTTCAATTCTGTCCTGAAGAATTATTCGCCCTTACCATGAACTAGAACAGTGTTTTTCAAACTTGGCAACTGAAGATGTGTGGACTTCAGCTCCCAGAATTCCCCACGCTGGCTGGAATTCCAGCTCAGTACGCTGAATGCTGGCTCATCTCCCAGGGTGGTTCCTCTCCAATGGCTGCAGGCTGGCTAGCTAACGTAGGATGCTTTTAAGGGCAAACGCATCTTCATTTCACTCCCTCCATTGACCACCTAGAAGCACCACGTACCCAGCTGTATCCTACTTCACACTCACCAGACATACATCGGCAGAGGTTACTCACTGGGGTTCAAACCCTCTACTGGGAACTGTACTCTTGGACCTTTGCACGTGAGATGACTCCATTCAGTGCCATAGCTTTAGCAGGCCCAGGTCCTGGCACTCAGTGGTGTTGCAGGGAGGCATACATAGAGTCTATCAGAATAGTATACAGTCCGCAGTCCACCTTCCCTTAAGCTCTCAGAGCGGAGAGAGATTAAATTCAAAAATATTTAAACAAAAAGAGTTGCAAAATTGCATGGAGTTTGCAACAAATGGTGTGGCTGGTGATACTATATCCTAGAGACCAAGTTACTATCCATAGTCAGATACGGCAAAGTATGTAACTCCTCAGTGGCTGAGTTCACAGAACACATTTAATGTGTTCCATAAAAAACCTAACACAAGCATTTTCACAGCCAACTGTCAACATTGGTTGGCCTCATGTAAGCCAAGCCCATGTTACATAGTTTATGGAATCTGATGGTAGACAAAAACAGCAAATGCAATAAATAAATGGTGTGAATAAATGGTGTGGAGAGGGAAAAAAATGTGCCTTTGTTTTTCAGAAGGTAATTTCAAGCTTGTACCAAGATATTAAACTACGCACACCTCTGCCTTCGAAGCAAGAAAATACATCTAGGGCTGCTTCTCTACTCTTCTACTTCTTCCATCTCTTCCCCAAATACCTTTTCTGAAACTTTTCAACTCTGCATGTAAGGGAAAAGGGTCAGTCATTTTTTTAGAAGATGGTTAGAGTTTTCTTATGCATTGAGGACGCAGTCAAGATCGCAAGGCCTCTTCTGTGAATGGGCTGCTTCTTTTGCAAATGAATGCCATGTGCAGTCCTCACATCGCCCTTGGCTGGAACATCAAGGGTGGGCGCCTCCATTCATCCATGGCCAAAGACATTTGAGAATGGGCCAAGGAAAAATGGATGTTTGCCCATCCCAGGCACCCTTCAGGCTGGGCTTGTAAGTGCTATGCAACCTCCAGAGCCCAAAATGAAGGAACTGTAGGAGGAGAGCCACGTTAGTATGCAGAGGCAAAAGTCAGAGGAAGTCTAGTAGCACCTTCTCTGACTAGCACATTTTATTAAAAGATACAAGCTTTCACCAGTTACAGCTTGCTTCATCAGTTGCACAGAGCAGATCAAGCCTTGTGATAAAAATTGTTAGTCAGGAAAGGTGCTACCAGGCTTCTTTTGATTTTTTGCCGAGTGAAGGGGCGTCACTGCACCAAGAGCTTCAACTCTAGGGCAAGCATGGCTCCTCTACAGGCATGACAGAAAGACACATTGCTTATGCATCCAAAGTGTGCGCAGCAGGAGCTGCAGGCGGTGGCTATTTCCTGCGTTTTTTTCTACATTCTCATTCAGTGAGAATTGGTTTCAACATTTCTAACAGATAAGAGAATTTTGGAGGAATGTGCATGGCTGGAGGGTAGGGTCTTTGGATTTGCTGAGTTACGAGGTAGCCAAAGGACATGGAGGAAGTCCTGCTTCTACTGCCCAATTCTCTTTCCAACCGTCTGAACGTCCCTTGGCTTCTGTTCCCACCCAAGGGAAGTTCTCAGAAGTTACCTCTGCCCAGAAGGGCTTTTCAAGCAAGGTGTGACTGTCATCAAAGGGGGAGTCCTACCCTTGAGAAACAACTGGAAAGTTTCTCCTGACCCTGGAGAAATTCAGAGAAATTGTCCACACTGTTTCTTGACCACAAATTTGGTGGAGAATTTCAAAAGGTGGCTTGTGCCAGTTTCAGGGCAATGCCCCCTGAACTACACAATGAGGCTGGGGGAGGAAGAGATGAGGATGGCATCTTAGCATCTCCATACACCTGTTTATGAAAACAGGGATAATGACTGAGATTTCTGAAATAGCATGCCATAGTGGCTAGAGCAACATTTTGCAACCACTGGACACACTTGAAATGTTTAGAGAATGTTGCAGGCACTCTCACAAAATGGCAGCCACAATGGGCATGGAAGGTCACAACATGCCCATTTTTCAGATGAATTCCTGAGAATGCTCCCCATTATTTCCTTCAAGCTTCTTCCTATCATCTCTTTATTGGGGCGGGGACAGGTAGCCCCACTTCTCAACAAAGCCCAGCTAATCAGCTTTTCTAAGAATGCCAATGGAAATTACATGGAGCACTTCAAAAATAAGATTATATGGAAGGTTAGTGGTTTGCTTTGCTACTAGCCTGTTTTTCATTTCATGAAGTAAATCCTTTATTAAAAATATTTTTTTTCAAAATTAAGGTGCCCCGGGGCCTAGAAGGCTGGCAGGCACCATAACAGCTGTAGTTCCTTATGGCCCCCTTAGTTTTTCTCCATAATTCAAGCAAAGTGAAGGATTCCCTTAATGCTGTAACCTCTTTAAAAAGCCAACTATCAAGTGAGATTTCAACTTCTTCTTTTTCTTCAGAAGAGAATTGCTGTTCTTTCTGTGTCCTAGGCACGCAAATACACACAGAAGCCCTCTTCTTTGGAAAGATCATCCGCACTCAGACCTGGGGGGGGAGGGTCTACTGGGACTTTAAGGGTGGCTTTCCTACTATAGCCAGAAGAGTGGTCAACCCTGTCCAACACCCCCGTGGAGCTGGGAGAGTCCAGATCAATGGCGCAGAAGGAATGTCCATCCGGAGCCAAGGTTCAGTCCAGACCTTCATCACAGCTGTTCCTGAATCTCAGCAGGTGAGCAAACCATCATCCAGCATCTAGGCGTAGTGTCAACCCCGCCAAACAAACCCTCCCTCTGTCAAGCCTCTCCACGCATCCAATGAAGTGAGCTGCGGTTCACAAGAGCTTTGCCTTTTAATAAAACACGTTCAGTCTGAAAGGGGCTCCCAGTAGACAGAAAGTCTTGGAAACGGTAGGAGGAATGTCCCAGCCCCGCTGGAATTGCCGGCCTCCTTTTACAGTGAATTCATGACGGTGGAGTCTCTCTGAAGGGTCTGAACAGCTTCTTCTGGGGTTCCGTGCCGCCTGGGCTGCGTTGCCCGCTGTCTCGTGCTCGTGTAGGTCTCCCCTCTCTCCCCTCCGTCTCCCGGCCGCCCCACATCACTCGTACATCGGGTCGGCAGCACGGCCGACTTGGCGCTCGGCCTCAGGGCCAAGGCCACGCGCCCCCTGCATCCACGGGCCAGGCGACAGTCCGCGCCACTTGCGCAGGCTGACCCCTCCCTCCGTCCCCTCCCTCCCCTGTCTTGGGGGCGCGGGAAGTCGTCCGCCTGCGGGGCAACAAGAGCGGTTCCTCCCCGTCCGCTTCTGGAGCTTTCCTGGGACACAGGAGCCTTTCTAGCGGCGGGTTTTTCCCACGCGGAGGGGCGAAAAGGGGGGGGGGGGGGGG